AATTCGAGATGAAAAGACTTTGTTCGTTTTTGTACAAATAATGGAAAATAATGATTAACCCATTATGCTAACGTAATTTGTCATCCCAACAGAATTGTTTATGTTATCTATTCTACCACTTCTTATATGATGATGTGATGAAGAATGTGGTAAAGAAGATGACATCATGGAATTAATAGGTGGTAAATGAATAGGTTCTTGAAATATTGATCTAACTGATGGTAAGTTAGTCATTGGAGAATGATGCTTAGTATTAAAATCATAAACAAGTGATGATGATGATGATGATGGAGTTGTTGCTATCGGAGTAGAAACTGGAGTAGGCGTACATCTAACACGCTTTGATTGAGGTTCATCGATATCAGGACAAGAAGTTTGTGGTGGAGGAGGGGTATGAATACCAGCTTTTGAACCACGTCGGCTTTTCGAAGATAAGTGTGTCCTATAATGTTGCATCATATTATCTTGACGAGAGAATTTTGATGTACAACCTGGCATTAAGCAAGAGAAATTTTTCTCTCCTGTATGTATCCTATTATGACGAGCAAGGTGACCGCTATAAAAAGAGTAAATAAATATTTTAATTAATAAAAAGATAATATTAAATAATAAATAAATATAAATATAATATTAATATTATATATTATATAATACATATTACATATAATATATATTATATATAATATAATATATATAATATAATATAATATATATAATATAATATAATATAATATAATAAATAATAAAAATAAACTAACCTAGTTGTAAAGCTTTTGCCGCAATCAGGATGCTGACAAATATATTTACGTTTGTTTACATTAGCATTTGTAAGAGAAGGATTAGAAGGTAGACGTTGTTGTCTTTGCGGTGAATGTATATGAGAAACTAAACCATCATCAGAACATCCACAACTAGAAACTGAAGAAAACACTGATTCATCATCAGATAACAAAGAAGTCGGAGATAAAGTCGACTCATCATCATCGTTCAATAAACTAACCATCGCACCGTCTGATTTTTTAATAACCAAAGTGGAAGAACTACGTCTTTTGAAAGGACGATGATGACGGGGAGGTGTTAAAGGAGGAGTATTAGGACTTGTAATCATTTGTCGTTTGAAAGAACTTTTATGTTGTGATTCTTGAATTTGTTGTTGTTGTTGTTGTTGTTGATTAGGTTGATTATGTTGATTATGTTGATTATGTTGAATAGGAGGAGAATACATTATTTGAGCATGATGATTTTGGGTTCGTGACGATGATTGAAAAATTGGAATGTGTTGCGAATTCTCGGATAAAATGTTATCGTCGAATGTCGACTTTAATTGAGAATGATAATCTTGTGTTTGAGAAGGATACGAATATTGTTGAGGTTGTTGATTATTAAAATTATTATTTAAATGACAATCAAAGTGTGATGATGAAATCCGAGAATGATAATATTGTCGTGACTCCTCTTGTTCAAAAAATTGTTCTCTTTGAACGTATCTTTGCTGTTGTTGTTGTTGTTGTTGATGAGGACGATGATGATGATGATGATGATAATGATGTTGAATCGGTTGACTTTGATGATAAGTAGAAATCTCTACAGGATGATAGTAGTCGTTGTTGCCGCGTTCCATAATGGTACAAGTTTAATAAATGAAGAATAATAATCTATTCTAGTTGTTCAATTGTTTATGATTATTATTGTTTTTTTTTTTTTAATTTAATTAAAAAAAAAAAAAAAAAAGTAAAAAAGTTCGAGGAAATACCCGCTATTTATACACAATTCACAAAAGAGGTTCGTGCAACATAAATTTTAGAATAATAAATATGATGTAAACAACATGGTGTAAAAATCATATGAATACGAACCTTTTCGAGCGAAGATTTCGAAGAAAAAAGGAGATCGACAGTGGGGGAATCGGATTCTTAAACAGGCTGATGATTTTCGTGAGGATAGTATAAACAAACAGGAAGAATAACGAACCCTTTTTTATCAATTAACTTGAAAAAAATAACCCCCGTATTATAAAGTTGACGGGAAGAAAGTTTTTTTTTTGTGAGAAAAAAAAAATTTGTTGTTAACCCCCGGGCAAAACAAGTGTATATTTGTAATCACAATTGTTTGAGAAATCGAGGATCCAGGATCCAAGCAGGTTAATTTAAGAAAGGAAATTTGTGATGTAATTTTCGTTTATGGTAAATCGAAATATTTCAAAATATTATGTAGTTAACAGTGGTAAAGAACAAATTAAAGATACTTTATATATATATATATATATACAGTTATGTATATACAATATAAAAGTAGTAATATCTATCGTTAAAATTTTTTTTTTTTTTTTTTACTTCTTTCTCGAGACAAGTTCAAGAGAAAAAAAAAAAGCGCACCAAAATAATATAGTAGTAATTTTTTTTTTTTTTTTTTTGCAAGATTCGAAAGGGGTCAAAGCTTTTTTTTTCAACCTTTCGGGTGCCAATGTGGGGAGAAAAACAAACCGTTATTTTATATAGAAAAAAAAAAAAAACTGTCAATAGTTTAGGAACACAACATAAATTATAATTGTCGATTCAATTTTTAACTAAAAGAAATTTTGTTTGTTAAAAGTATTCGTTCCGTGTGTGTGATAGAAAAAGAAAGAATCACTTTAAAAATCAGAAATGTTGAAAAAAAAACCTAATAATTAATTGATTATAATATAAATTCACACAATAAATATATAAATTATAAATTATATAATATAGATAGTACGTATATATATAGTATATATATAGTATATATATAGTGTATATATATATAGTATATCTGATATATATATATATATATAACAGATTCGGCATTCAAGCAGTAAGGGATTTTTACTTTATTTTTAGAATACTTAATATAAAGATATATTCGATTTATTACAGTTACCCCAAGCTAAATTTCATGTCACACACACATGAAAATAGTTAAAAGATTTGCATGTCCGCTACACCTTCTTATTCATTCTTTTTACTTTAAAATTTTACGTTAAGTTTTAATAAATAAATTGATAATGTAATCTTATATAAGATTAATTTTTTTGCTTATATGATATTTTTATCCGGTCACTTAAGCAAAAGCAAAGCAAAGCAAAGCAAAAGCAAAATGTAAAACGTAAAAAATGTGTAAAAAAGTAAATAATAAAATGTAAAAAAAAAAAAAAAATTTTTTATTTATTTTAATCATCTTTATCGTTATTAAATTAATTAATTAATGATCCGGTTTATTGTGTACACTTTCGTCATATATTAAAATAATATATATCGATATATATATATCGATATATATATATATATATATATATATATCAAATAAAATGATAAATTTGTAAATAGTAAACGAACGATAAATAATATAATATATAAAGATTTAATAGCAATAAATTCGATAAAGAGTAATAATGTAAGAGTAGCGAATGATAACGATAAATAGAGATGATAGATTAGGAATATCTAAGAGTAAATAGAGTAAATTAATATGAATATATGAACATAAGATTATGCATATAAGGTATATGAATATGGATATAAAGAAGATATATGAATAAACTTTTGTGAACTATCCGAAAACACAATTGTTACGCACTGACTCTTTAATAGGAATGACAATTTTATCCAGGGACCTCCCCCACAGTAACAAAAATCAAAAAAAGAAATTTCTTTTTTATTTTTCTCTTCGGCTGGTATTTTCCATTTTCTGAAAGATTACCGGTAAATCTCACGTATAAAAATTATATAATTTCACACCAATTAAATGTAAACATGTTGAACCATCAAAGAGATCCTCTCGTGATCTCGTACATGCATCACTTATGTTAATCTACTCGCTTTGACCCACTTTGATAAATTGAAACCCTTCGGATTGTTACATAATCCGAGTCAGTAGTCAGTTTCAAGTTTTCGTAAAGATCATGTGAATTTTTTTTTGAATGAAAATAATATATTTTTTTTATCCGTTCTTTAAAAGTAAGGGACAATATACGTTATCGGAACATTCTTTTTGTCATATGCAAATAAAGTAGTATGTTATCATTTCTTGAACTAATACTTTTATGATTATATTGAATCGTAAATGAATCTACCTTTTTTAACCCGGATTGTCGGTTTTTTTCTACAAAAAATCCCGCCTAAAAATCTTCATTGTGAACGAAAAACCCTGTTTGAAATGTTTGAAATGATTAGTGATGCTTTATCATATTATTATTGATGATGGTCTGAGCTATTACTATTTCATAATTACTGTATTATCATAATATTCTTAATATTATATAATATAGTATTATATATGTACTATGATTAATGTTATTAATATTATTATGTACTATGATATAGTATGTATTATATTATTATTATTATGTACTATGATATAGTATGTATTATATTATTATTATTATTTTTTTATTATTATTAATGTATTATTATTACAATTATCAAATTAAAAATTATTTTATTATTTAATTATTTAATTTTTTTTCCAATTTTTTAATTTTTAATTTAATAATAAAAAATATATTTTATTATGTTCTTAAACAAGTCGTCAAAGTCAACATTTTCTAATTAAACCGATTTTGTTCTGTTCGTCCGTTAAACATATGGTTTGTTGATACTTTTTAATTTCCATGTGAAAACCCCATTATCCTTTATTTATCCTTCGGACATTGTGTCAATCTGGTGATTAAAAAAATATCTATGTTTTTTTTTTTACATGTGACTTACCGTTATTCTCTATATTTATTCCCGTATATCAGGATATTATTCCCGCGTTTTATATATTTACTTACTTTTTTATTCAAGATTAATTCCTGTCCGAAAATTCGGTAATCCCATGTCATTCCATGCATGTATGTGTTCTTTACTTTTTTATTATTGTGAATTTCATATCTTCTTATCTTCTTTCATCATTAATTCCTTGTCATTCTTGTATATTCTAGTTTTGATTGTACCGTATTTTGAATTAATTTTTAATTACCTCTCTTTCTTCCGCTTTGTTTCAGATATTTTAAATTTCTAAATTAATAATAATCTATAAGAAACTAGTTTATACTAGTTTTTACATAAAATAAACTTATTCTAGTTTTTATACCGATACTACTTTAACTATTATAATACACATTTAACAGTTAAAAAGTATATAGATCATGAAACATCATAACGCAATCGATCGGAATTTTCCGAATAAAAAAATCATAATAAACATGCTTATATAATTGGTAATCTTCTCGTAGTTTCGAGATTATAAGTTAGAAAATTCTCGGGATTTCTTTATATAAATTGATAATTAACTTTTAGGAATGGAAAAGTCTCGGAAAAGACCGATTAAGGGTCGGTATTTTAATCGGTCTTTTAATCATTTGGTCTCCGGATTTTAGACCGGTACACACCGGTAATAGACTTGTCTTTATACATATATCAAATTAAAATTATTTAAGGTAAAGTTAAAATATTACATAATCAGTTTTTTTTTTTTATAATTTATAAATATCATATGATTTTACTAAGCCAATAGTTATCAAATCACCTGGATGGTTAATAATTAAAAAAAGTTTATTCATAATTTTTTTTATTAAACTCGGAAATATTACCCCCTAATGGATAAGTATATAACTATAAGACATTATCGTTATTAAACTTATTCTAATACGTATACATCATTTAAATATAACTTTATTAATCATTCTAATACATCATAATTAGAAAAAAATATAACTTTGTTCTTTTTTTTTACCGTTTAGGGTACAGTATATATAAGGCCAAGTAAAAAAAAAAAAACTTGTTTTCCACACTAGGTATAATATTAATTCTTTTTGTAGAAATTTTTGATTTTATATTATCGTTTAAAACGAGTGGCAGTGTATGATTTTTGAGGCGTCTCTCGAGTTTATTAATTCAAAAGTGAGTCTTTTAAATACTAAAAAAAGGTATTCTTTCAATTTTTTTTTTTTTTTACCTGATGATGTTTTTTTTCATGCGCGTTTTTAAAAAAAAAAAATTATTTATACGCCCAATTCTAAATCTCTTGATCGTTAATGGTCATTAATCACATGACTTTATTCCTTATCTATCCTAATCTTATGATAGTTATTCTATACTGTAATATTATTTGTTTATCAACTTGAACTTTATGAATTACGAGAATTTGGTTATATTCGCCCATCGAATTTTTCTTGTTCGTTATTTTATAATGCTTATCTGGTTAGAATAAAATTTTAGTAATTTATAGTTAATCAATTGGGAAGTTTCATTTAAAAAAAAAAAAAAAAAAGATATATTTGCAACATCATTGTCATTTGATAATCGTGTATGAAAAAATAGATAAAAGATTGTGGAGAATGAGAACATATGAGGAGAAAATAAATAAATAAACTAAGATGAGACCTAATAAAGACATATAAGAACAAATGATAAAAAGTAAGAAACAGGAGTATATCGTACGTAAGTACATAAAATTATCGCGAGTTTTTTCATTCATAGACAACTATTTCATATAAAGCATCAAGTTATAAAAATATCAAGTTTTTCTACATACAGTTAAACAGATAGTAGATAACAAATACAGTAATAAAAAAAAAAAAAAATTTTTTTTTTCCAGTATATTACTGTATTAATAATATTA